CCTCTGGGAAGTCTGGTCTGGCTCCTGTCTCCTCCATGCTAGACAGATTCTCAGTCTTCCGGGAAAATAACAAATGTATATGGACATGTAAAGCATCAGTATATGTGTTTTTCACTGTGAAAATCTCAACTTTTTTAAAAAGTCAGAAAATGTGGCAATTCCTGACATTTCTCTTCAAAATTTAAAAGTTTTATGACCATTAAAATTTATTGGGCCAGGCGTGGTGGCACACACCTGTAATCACAGCACTCGGGAGGCTGAGGCAAGAGGATCACTGTGAGTTTGAGACCAGCCTGGGCTACATAATGAGACCCTGTCTCAAAAAAACAAAACAAACAAACAAACAAAAAATTATTGGGCCAGGGATTTAGCTCGGTGGTGCCATTGCCTGCCTTGCAAGCGTGAGGTCCCAAGTTCAATCCCTGATTCCCCCCCCAAAAATTTATTAAAGTAGTCCTGTATCAATTATGACAGTTCTTCAGAATTATGTGAGAGAGCAGTTTGCTTTGAAACTTGCCGGAGATTGAACTCAGGACCTTGCACTTGCCAGGCAGGTGTGGCACCACTGAGCTCCAATCCCAGGCCCAGCCTATGGAATTGATTACATCGTTTTTTTGTTATTGGAAATGGGGTTTGCTAGGCAAGTACTGTACCACTGAGTACACTGCTCCTTTTAGAAAAATTTAACCTGCCCACATTGATTTCAAACTTGAGCCTTCTGCCTCAGTTTCCCAGATAGCTGGAATTACAGGCATGTGACACTATGCCTGGCTGATAACATAATGATTTAAAGCAAAATATAGTAAATTCTCACTAATCCAACAGATTAATATGGGTGTTTGAGTACTACTTGGGTACTTTGATTTAAAAATTTTATTTTGTGATAAAGAAAAAAGGTCAAGCTCTTTTCTCCCACCCAGGTACTAACCAGGCCCAATCCCAATTAGCTTCTGAGATCAGACGAGATCAGGTGTGTTCAGGGTGGTGTGGCCAGAGACAAGCCCTTTTCTGTGTATTCATTTACAGCCTCGGAAGGGAAAGATAGTTGGCATTCAGCCCTTTGATATATATTCTTTTTTTTTTTGGTACTGGGGATTGAACTAGGGCCCTTGAGCTTGCAAGGCAGGCAGCAGAACCACTGATCTGAATTCCTGGCCCCCTTTGATATATATTCTGAAAGACTGAAGCAAAAAATTGTAGTGAATGTTGATAGCTTTTCATTGTACAATTATAATTCTGTGACTTAAAGTTTTGGTTTATTAGATATTATTTAGCTTAGAGTATGTCTTTAGGGTTGATGGCTGATGAAAATGTTCATGGTTAATGCAGTTAGACTTAATTTGCCATAGTATAGAAAATATCATTACAGCGGGGCATGGTAGCGCACACCTGTAATCCCAGCACTCGGGAGGCTGAGGCAGGAGGATTGTTGTGAGTTCGAGACCAGCCTGGACTACATAGTGCATTCCAGGTCAGTCTCAAGTACATAGTGAGACCCTGTCTCAACCCCCTTCCCCCCAAAATCATTACTTACTAATGAAGAGTAGTGAGTCATCTTCTGGCCTGTGTAGTGCTATGTAGAGCGGTATGGCAGCTTTGGAGTAAAAACAGTTCAGAGGAACTGAGAAGATAGATCAGCGGTGGCGAACTCACCCTCTCTGAGCACTCAAGCCAAGTCACTGAGCATCAGATAATGTTTTTTTTTTTTTTCTAAACTAAAATCTCAGTATTCAGGTTTAATTGTAGCGTTGGCACTTTGCACTAGTGAGTGGGTTTTGGGTTACAGTTTGGGGCTTGGTCTCTAAAAGATTCACCATCACTGCGATAGCTTTGGGAGGAAACCTGAAATACATAATACTAGGAGACTAGCCGCGAAAGATGAGTAATTTGCTAAAGTGGGGCTCTCTCATGCATGAATAATTGAATATTCCTTAATGTAGTCTCTGAGAGATTGAGAACTTCGTTACATTCTTTGATTTCTGTATAAATATTGCAGATGTTACCTGGGATCTGTGATGATTTTGATCACTACACTATTTAAATAGATAACTAGTGAATTTCATAAATCTATATTAAAATTAAACAGTATAATCCTTGTATTTACTTTGCACTTTAAGCCCTGTAGAGTGTGTTTACCTCTATGTCACAGCCTCCACGTGAAAGGAAGTGTTTGTGCAATTTGCAGTTCACAGTATTGGTCCTAGAGCAGTTTAACTTGATTTTAAATATGCAACTAGTAAGTTATAGAACTAGAGTCTTAAACACATACGCTCGTTTTTGCCATTCATTCATGTGTTCAGTCATGTCTGTATATGTTTGTGTTTTGAGATGGCTTCTCCCTGCGTTGCTCTGACTCCTGGGCTCCAGCAGTTCTCCCACCTCAGCATTCCTAGTAGCTGAAACCATAGTTGTGGGCCGGGCTGTGTCTACCGTGTAATGTAGCAATATAGTTACACAGGTTGGCAATCATGCCTGATCTTGTCGTTTCTCAGCTAGACTATGTATAACTTACCTCCAAGTCTCTGATTATATTTTATGTTCTTGCTAAATCACGAAACCTCCTGGTTCGTTGAACACACTGCTTACTTTTCTGTGATTTCTTCTTTTGAGAGGTTCACCCATCATTTTTGTGTAATATTTCCTTATTTTTCTGATTTAGTTTAGTTCCTAGATGAGTTTATTTCTATCATTGGGGACCAGAGGGAGTTTCTTTGTTCTGGTGGTGCTGGGGTTGCAGCCCAAATCTTCGTTTTCGTGCATGCTAGGTCAGCTCTCTGTCACTGTCCCCCCGCCCTTAGCCCAAAATAGTGTATATTTACTTATTTTTTGTTGGTGGCTCTCTTGTCTTTAAGTAGAGCATTTCTGAATTTTAGTTTATTATACTGCTTAATTTCCTGTTCTTTAACATCCTTAATATTTACGTCATTTATGCCTTCTGCATCTTTTGTCTTCTAAGCTGAAATCACCAAGTCCTAAGTTGTCTTTTTTCACTTTTTTAGTTTTGCAGTGTTGGGACTTGAACCCAGGGTCTCACCTATGCCAAGCAAGTACTTTCCCATTGAGCTACATCCCAGCACCTCATTTATTTATTTATTTTTTGAGACAGGGTCTCATCAAGCTGTCCAGGGTGACCTTGAATTTGGATCCTCCGCCTGTGCTTCCCCAGTGGCTGGAAGTACAAGGGTGCACCACTCGCTTCAGCTGACCCTAAGCAGCTCTTGACTATTTCTTCCCACTGTGCTGTCCCCACTTTAATTCAAACCGCTGTTGTCTAACCTGGACCGCTTCAGATTTCTTACTTGACTCCCCTTTCTCTAGCCATTTTTACTTTCTTCCTGTCTTTTCACACTTACAGCAAGAGTGATATTTGAAAACAACAGAGGACCTGTCCCCCAGTAGGAGTTAAAAGTTAATTCTGAATGAATCATGATGATGATGAATGATACCTGTTGTTTTCTCTGTCCCTACAGTTAAGCATTTGTCTAGTGGGAGACTGCAAAAAATGCACATAAAATATATCTGGTGTTGGAGTTTCGTGCTCTTTCGTAGTCCCGCAGGTGCCTCAGTTTCCCTGCAGTGCTCTTTTCCCCTCTTTTCCTCCTTGATTTTCTTTTTTTTCCACTTAGCCAAGCATAGGCTTATACTCGAGTTTGGTCATTTGTATGTAATCTGGTTATCTAGATATAGAAAGTGAATAATGTGGGCTGGGGATTTAGCTCAGTGGTTCCGCTGCCTGCTTTGCAAGCACAAGGACCCGAGTTTGATCCCTGTTACCAAAAAAAAGACCAAACAAACAAAAAAAGAAAGTGAATAATGCAAGGCTTTTCCTTTTTATTGGGTAGTAGCAATAGTGTATTATAGAATTTAGTAATACTATTTTTGTAGTCTGGTTCTTATATTTATAACACATTGTTACTGGATGTGTAGAACATATTGCTTCATGTTTAAAGAACATATTACCTTCTCAAAAAGGCCCTGAGGCTCTGAGAATGGAAAGGACTCCTTCCTTTTACTATGGAAAATTTCTCAATGTAGACAAAATAGAGAATATCAACTGACTCCTTGTCCCCACTGCCCTGCGTCAGCATGGCTGATCTTGTTTCATCCAAATCTCACCTATTTCCCCTCTACCCACCACCAGATATTTTGAAATAAATATCATTATTTTATATGCAAATACTTTAGTTGCAATGATTTTTTTCAAGGGCATAAAGACAGCTGTTGACAGAGTCATAATTTAAATCCAAAACAGTGCCAGTTCCTGTTGTGCCTGTGATAATAGCTCTTGCTTGTAGTTCATTGTCTAGGCTGTGTTTATAAAGTGATTGCATCGGTGTCTACAACCACATGTTATTTAAAAAATCAAGAGTTTTAGTTTATTGGACAAGTAATTTTAATATCATATGACAGCAAAAGAGTATTACCCCTAATTCTCCTACCCTGAGATGGTTATTTTCATCACTTTATGGGATGTCTTTTTTTTTTGTTTTTTGTTACTGGGGATTGAACTCGGGTCCTTGTGCTTGCAAGGCAGGCCACTGAACCGCTGAGCTAAATCCCCAGCCCTATGAGATGTCTTTTGTAGTTAAATGTCTGTCTCATGCATCCATGTGAATAGTTTTAGTGGGATCATTTTATAGAGTGCTTCCTTTTCCTTAAGGAGGGATAGTACCCTCAACATAAGACATTTTCTAAAGTGTATTTAGGGGAAACACCCAAACCCTACAGTAAATGCTAAAGTTAACCGGTAGTTTGTTTCCATGATAGTAGGATAAAATTATCCTGGAGAATAGGTCAAAATTCTTCCAAAGATTTCTGAGTTTTTCTAGTCTGAGACATTACATGATGGTGAAGGGTTGTTTTTTTCTTTATCTGCATTGAACCTAAGTTTCAGTTTATGTATGAGAACAAGGTAAGTGCCATGGAGTTGTATTCTTGGAAGGAAATAATGTGCAGATAAATATTTGTAAGTAATGTAAGTTTGTATCTTCGTTTAATAGGCATCAAGCACGATGGGACCATGTGTGATACCTGCCGTCAACAACCAATCATTGGCATTCGGTGGAAGTGTGCAGAGTGTACAAATTATGATCTGTGCACAGTTTGCTATCACGGAGATAAGCATCACTTGAGGCATCGCTTTTACAGAATTACTACACCAGGAAGTGAGCGGTAGGGGAAATAATTTTTTTCAGTTGTGACTTCTCTTTGTTTGTACTTAAGTTTTTATATTACCTAGACCTTTAAAAATAGAATTAGGAAAGCCGGGCATGGTGGCTCACACCTGTAATCCCAGAACTCTGGAGGCTGAGGCAGAAGGATCGCTGTGAGTTCGAGACCAGCCTGGGCTACGTGGTGAGTTGCAGGTCAGTCTCAACTACATAGTGAGACCCTGTCTCCAAAAAAAAAAAACGAAAAGAAAGAATAAATAGAAAAATAAGATAAAATTAGGAAAAAACAAAAACCTGAAACCTGACTGAATACATGAATGAAGAGGAGGAACATAAGGAGTAAGAGATGCATAGCCTTGGAGGAGCGAGCTGAATCTGACATGTTTCCCAGGGTCCATAGTCTTCTCTAAGTACTTTGGAGGCAGTGTCGTATCAATCAGACTCCTGCCACAGAGACATTAGCTTACATGGTACTCCGAAGTTCTGAGTCACTGCTGACCTCGTCTGGATTCTCAGAACACACGTAGCGCTGGACCTCGTGTCTGCTCCTTGCCGCCCTTGCTGAGGTGGGGGTGCACCTGTACCTGCCGTGGAGCGAGCTCTGGTGTCTTCCCTACCCTGAGGTCCAGTGCCTTCTGCCACCCGCTGTTGTGGTGCTGTCTTTCTCGGGCCCTCGTCTGTGCTACTCATGTGGCAGCTGCCACAGCGCTGAATCGGCCCCTGCCACGTAGAGAAGGTGTAGCGGTACCCTGAAGTGGTTAGCCTGGGTTCTTATTTTGACTCTGACTTTTGAACCTGTGTGACCTTGAGCAGATTATTTTTTTGAGAGTCAGGAGTCCTCATAAAATGGATAATGTCAACACTATTTTTCTCTTAAGGAATGTAACAAACTGTTACACATGTGCAAGTGCGTTTACATATAAATGACTCACCCATTTTTTATATAAACTTGAAAATAATTTTATTTTTAGGGTTCTGTTAGAGTCTCGTAGGAAATCTAAGAAGATTACAGCCAGAGGAATCTTTGCAGGTGCCAGAGTGGTGCGAGGAGTGGACTGGCAGTGGGAAGATCAGGATGGAGGAAATGGGCGCCGGGGAAAGGTATGGAGCTTCCCTCAGTTCATCAGTTCCTAATGCATGTTCAGGAGATTGTTGCTATAAATGAATCTTTCCATCATTCTTTTTCCTATGCCACTAAATTTTTTTTTAAATCTTCCTCCCTTCCTCCCTCTTCCCCCCTCCCTCTCCTTCTTCCCCCCTCCCTC